GTAAATCTTCAAAAACTCTCACTAATCAGTCGAACTGAAAATTGAAGCGGAATCAAAAGGTAAATTATCCTTCCTAGATGTCCAACTTACTAGACGATCAGATCGAAGCCTACAAAGATCAATTTACCGCAAGCCAAAATGGAATAAACAGCTGACAAACTATCACAGTTTTGTCCCAATGAACAAAAAAAGAAATCTCATCGCCTCATCTTGTGCACAGTAAAAAAGCACTATGATACATACCTAGATGTTACTTTCCTTCATCTAATACTCTTAAGGCGAGATTCATTAAAATTAAACACAAAATTAAAACATGTTAAACAGGCATTACTACCCAGTAATTAACTGCCAGAATACATTGAAGTGTTAATGAGATCTGATAGGGGGAAAATGAAAGACTGAGTGACCGGAAGATGAAGTCCAGAACTTCTATGTTGCTGCCGTAAAATGAAAGGATAACAAAGAATTTCATCGTTTCCTTAAAGAAACTGAAATTAAAGCAGCTTTATATTCATTAATTATCTGAAAACGAAGCTGCATTAATCGTCAGAAGGGCAAAATCATTCAGACTATAAAATGCCGCATAATCATCTTGCGGTAAGGTATAAAGGTTGAAGCAGTCTGACGGAGTCAGTCAGAAAATTTGAGCACAAAAGAATCACTAAATATAGAGTAAGCGATCCTCAAAACATCAATCATCAGGAAGAATTATGGCTTCCCCAATTCGTGGGCTGACGTTCGATATGATAAGATAAAGCGTAAGCTCTAAAATCTAATATAATCAGTACAAAATAGATCACGGAGTCTTTATTTAATCTACACCAAACACACACACACACACAACTGTGATGACTGGAAACCCATAAAAGGTATTTAGAAAATTCTGTTGCCAATAAACCTAGAACACTTGATCGAATCCGGACACCAAGCAAACCCAAAAAAACAACTTCTCACTTATCTACACAATACGTACGAATCTTGCCAAAAGAGTACGAATTAAACTTCTTCAAACTGCAGAAGCAATGGCAATTCACACATTGAATCCTGAACTCTGCATACAAAAGAAGTTTGTTCAGTCACTAAATCTACAATGGTCTTGATCTATCTTAACACCAAATACGTAATTTTGTCTTACCTCTTTCTTCTTTGTTTGTCTGTTTCTTAATTGCATTATTTTCTACCCCCACCCTCTATTAAATCTCTACCCTCGTGACGACTGTTGCTAACTCCATTTTCGTTTATTTTCAAGTGAATTCTACTCAGATAATCAACTTAACTCTCATTCATTTTTCATTGAACCCTATCAAATAGATTACGTCACCCAAACTACTTTTGTAACTTTATTTTAGTTTCTAACCGACTAACGCCTTCTAAATTACGTAATTTACTGTCAAAAATTAACAATTGCATTAACACATCTTTGGAAATATTCCTTTTGTTGCCAAGAAAAATTACTATAAATTTGAGGTTTGTACACCTTGAGAATGATATCGCCGAAAAGAGTAACACTTTGCTGAACTCCTTTTCTTTTCTATAAACCTGTCTTCATAAATGGAAGTAGTGTTTGTAGGCTTAGAAATGCTCTATGATTCTGAGGAATGTCAAAAATATTTTGGATGGGGTCGTGTCACTGAATTGATCTGTCTAGTTGTCACATTCGACTGCTCTACTTTTGATGGTCCGGTGAGATACAGAAGCTCTACATCTTTATTGAACTTTAATGCATATCTATCGTATAACTTTTTCAGTAGTCCAGTTAAAGTTGGAAGAATGCCTCGAAATTCATTTCTCTGCAGCAGTTATTCCCTTACTTTTAGTCTTATTCTGATGTGTAGAATACTGTGCAGCATCCTTATGCCCCGATAATCACTTACTCACTTAGCTTCCTATTCAGAACGAGGTGAGATAATTACAGCAAACAACACCTGCATTCTTATCAGCAGTTTCTGGACATCGATTTCGAATATTCTATCGGACAAGAAGTCTCATATTGAGTTGTATTTAAGAAATTGTATGGATGCAATTATGCATTCACTGACTCAACTTCAGTTAGTTTGTGAATAGGTCAATATTCCAAACAAATATTAACTTGAGTCACACTCCCCTGGTCTTTTGTCAAAGCTGTTCAATCAAAACAGTCACAGGAACCTGTGAAAATGGGACCGACAGAAAAGAACACTCTGTGTATTCAGATACAAAACCTTTAGCTGAAACGAGGGGATATCTGCAAATGCATGGTTATCATGACCAACCACTGTAAACATTTTATTCCCAATGTTCAAATGTTAGTCTGAGAAAATCTCGTTGCTCCCACGTCATCATACTGCATCTTTTCTGACCTGAAAGATGACTTACCGCAGTTATTGACAAAATACACATTACGACGGGCATTATCTAGTCTGGTCTCGTTCTCGCAACAACCTCTACTCTAAGAAAATTCCTGTCCATGCAAAATTCGGCGTACGCTGAGCTAAACACTCGCATTTGGTATGAGTATCAAGCCTGATTGGTAAATATTTTGTGCTAGAAGTTTTCTTAAAACTAACATTCTCTGGAATGGAGATACGTCATTGGTTAGAGTTGCAGAATCGACGGTAAGTGAGGAATATAAGTCAGAGTCGTTTCACCAACTATATATACGAGACTTCTGGTGAAAGTAGAACTGCATGCTTCGGATAATCTGACCATATATCTACTCAATTCAATTCATACGAAAAATGAAACAGTTAATAAAAAACAAAAGAATGAGGGATGTAAGACTAAGGAAGGCAGTAACTGAGACTACTCTTGGCAAGATAATCAAATAGAGTCTAGAACATATTATTTTCGTACACACAAGGAGGGTTTAATTTTACAGATGACCATAGCCTCTGAGTATTTTAGTATGCACTACTGCCGACTTTAATATCTAAAATTGAAAGTTGTTTTGATATAGATCTTGTTGTTCACATCAGTTCTTCAATGACACATTCCTAGGACCACTCTACAAATCTCTTCGACCCTCTAAATTGCAAGCGAGTCTTTCACCTTTATTCCTCTTACAAAATCTCACATTGATAATTACCATGCCAAGTTGTGCATAGTAATTGAACTTCGGGTTTTCTGATATTTTTTTATTTGCCATATCAAGTTTACCAATTTTTGCGCCTCTATCATTTACAACATGAAGAGATATACTAGACAAAATTACTCGAATCACGTTCTAACGACCACCGATTAAACTGATTTTCAGTAGGTCCTGATAAGTATGCGACAGATTTGCCGTCCATTGAACCTTCAGTACATGAAAAAGAAGCACTCCCATTCGGATTCAACCTTTCTACCTCATCAACCAATATTTCTGACTTAGCTATTGGCTCCCAGTTTGAAGATAACCATAATCAATTGAGTCCTCTACTTCTTACATCGGCAGAAAACCAAAGCTGGATAAAGACTAAATTAGTTAACATAACCCATCAAGTCCGTAATTCATGGCGGAAGCAAAAAGCATTGTGACTCTAAAGCTCTGCGGAACTACATTGTTGATCCGACATAATTACACTAAGAACTGACAAAGCATCAGGCGTAGTTGTAATGCATAAAAATGAAATTTTATTCATTATAGGTAGTAAAAGTAAATTAATGGTGGACGTCCCATCTGATAGCATTCGAAAATTAAGAGAAAAGGCAACACCTAATCTAGCAAGACCTCGTCGCATGAATATTATTGAAACAAGGAATTCAGTTCTCTGAGACATATGGGATCTAACTTACCAAACCCTTTCGGATTACCTAAGATCCCCCAAATTAACAACCGTCACGCCATACGATGACAATCTGACAGGTGATTTGGTCGGTACGGTGCCATTTTATGAGTGCTATGTTGACGATAAGCATAAAAGTGAGACATGTCTACTGGACAGAATTAACTATGCACGAAATCAAACCAGCCTTGCACGTGACGAAGATGCAATCAACTCGCATTTTTAGATATGCCTTTTAGTAAAAGAGAGCATGGATGTTGGGTAAACATACATTCGCGTGACACTCAAAACAGTTGGATTCTGAAACCTCGGTAAATGCAAATGACAGACTACCAGTGTCGTCTGTGGCACAACACTATCAATATAAACCATTAGATCGACAGTAAAACAACTTTTGAGATCATATATGGTACATACTAAAATGCACAGTGGCTATGGCCATCTGTAAAATCAAGTCCTCCTTATGTATGCAAAAACAATATGTTGTAAACCTCTACCTACCTAGGTAATCCTTATCTGATTACCTTGCCTCCTTATTCTTTTGTTTATTCTATCCAACCTTTCATTTCTTCATACGAATTGAAAAATATTTGTTCGAAGTGTATCGCACAAATACCTTAAGCTTTCCAGGTCAACTCCGTCTCTTAATAACGCTTTGCAAATTTATTAAATGGGCTGTTTTAAGTTTTCACAATGCATATTCTAGACACCCGCTATAACAATGTATTTCACCTCTTACATGAGCTGGTTTCCCTGGACATTTTTAGCCTTTCGAATGTGCGCACAACCGTTAGGAGCTCAGAAACCATGGAAAACCATTATGGGGCTCTGTCTCACGGTTGAATTCATCCTCCTACGATAGAGAAGAACGATACAAGAAAAATAATGCATTGAGCACGACGAGAAAAATGGAAATATGACCCCACCCAACTAGGACCCGACAGCTACATCTAAAAAAACACAAGCGCGAGTGTGGAAAGAAGAGATATATTAGTATATAACACAGGCTAAGTATATCACAACAAGTCGATATGAGAGCATTTCAAGCCAGCGTGTATAAATATAAATGCGTAAATCACATCATTTGGAATGACATATTCGTATATCTTACACACGTGTGTGTATGGGACATATGGAATGCAGTACATGAGGCCTATGATGTCTCAATTATTGTGTTCACTGAGTTTTCAAGATCAATTTATAATACAAATTGAAGAGTGATAATCGGCATTACTCCAGCGCAGAATACATAATAACCTGCTTTAGAACTTTTGTTTGGCTTGTTTCACGAATTTCTCCAGCCAGGAACATTTCATCGACGACACTATAAACTTTGTAGAAGTTGAAGACAAGATCTAGTTCACAAACATTGTGAAATAGCTCATTCAAAACCTCAACAAAGTTATGAATAGCTTCCAAGTACGCAAGACTATTATCCATGAGGTCTATACACATGCAAAAATACAATCCAGCATAACGTCGATAAACAATTTTAAAGTTGCGAAACTCAACAAAGTTTGTATGCTTGGCGTCTCTCACAGTAACTAAGGCATGGACTTCTTCTATTAATTTTTGCTTTTCTTCATCGTCGAAATTCATGTACCATTTCGCCAGTCTAGTCTTACCTGCCCGATTTTGTATAAGTATAAACCTAATCATACTACGCAACCTTGACCTTGAGAGCAAATATGCCTCGCAGATGCACAAACACAAATAGGTCAATACAACAACCCTCTTTTCTACTAAGATACAATTGGTTACTACACTCAAAGTGACGCCAATCTGGTGTGGTGACTACGGAAAATAGATTAGTTGACCTTTCAATGTATGATAACTCGCACTTGAGGGTTTTCGACAGCTAATTTACAATGACTCAATGCAGAATCAAATAATAAGCATGATAGGTTCTTGTTACCTATATTAATCCTTGCAATATGTATCTAACTTTTCTTTGAAATCGTTCACCGATGGAGATGCTACTACTTCAAGTATGGACTCACCGCTTGTATGCAGTATTCTATGTTGCATAGGGTACTTGGAACTGAGGCTCGTTTAATAATTTGAAAGCCCTACGAATTGCCCATAGCATTTGAAAAGCCCTAGTTGAGGCTGCATTACAATTTACGGTTGTTTTCAAATCATGGCTTTCAAAGTCCTTTTGTCCCTTAACACCTGATAGTAATGTGTCCCACAGGGAGTATGGCGTGTAAAACCTCTGACCTAGGTGCATTATCGCGCTCTTCTTAGAATTAATTTCCAGACTCCAGAGGTTTGACCTCTCAGCTAACCTACCTAGATCGTCTTGTAACACGAACCTATCATCAATACTATATACAGTTTTTTAGATCTTAATATCATCTGAATATAATAGTGAAGATGAGGCGAGAATTTTCGGCACTTCATTTAGGTATGATAAGAATAGCAGGGGGCCCAGTACAGTTCCTTGAGGTAGTCCACTCAATACTGTTTTCCACTCTGGTAGTACACCACTAACACTTACCTTCTACCTTCCATTCATTAGGTAGTCTTTTAACCACTCACATGGGCGTCTGTCTAGTCCAAAACCTTTTAGTTCACCAAGAAGATCTAAATTAGATACTTTATTCAATGCTTTAATGAGATCGATAAGAGCAACGTCCTGTAGAATGTTCTTATCACTGGCTTCGACATAATCTTCACTAGCTAATAGTAGGTTTGCCAGAAACCGCCAGTAAGCCATGTTTCTCCATATGGGCTGTGAGCTGATCCCTAATGACTGTTTCTAGTACATTTGCCATAATGCAGGTCAGACATACAGACTGCTGGTTAGATACCAACTGCCTGTTCCCCTCTCCAAAGTTGGGGCATATCATTGCATTCCTACAACTCCTGGATAGCCTAGATTGGGTCGGAGATATCTGAAAAATCTCCGTAAGTGGAATGTTTACTATGTCCGCCAAGGAGATCAACAGTCTAGGGTGAAATACATCGGGTCCAGATTATTTATCTGGCTTCAATTCAAATAGCAGTTTGCGAACCACTGCGTCCGCTACCGCAATTGAAGGCACTATAGTGGTGGCATCAGTGACCTGGCTATACCTCTGGGTAGTGCGATTAGACGAAACTACGTCACGAAAGTATTCGGAGAGGTTTTCAGCTACCGTTTCATCTGACTTAGCGGCCTCTCCAGTACTACTTCTCAGCGACAGGAAACCACTGATAGTTCTAGTCCTACGTTTAATATATGAGTACAGTCATTTTGGATGAAGCACACAACCCAGTACTAACTGTCTGTCATACCTCACACGAATTTTGTCAATCAGATATTATCACAGAGGTTCCGAATTCTGCGGCAGTCCATCTGAAACTCCTCTTTCCCTGTCACAGTAAACCGGTCCCATAAGTTCTTTCGCTTTCCTGACAACCTCCTTATTTCACTACTAATCCAAAGTGGTTTGTGCGATAATTTTCGAGGCGTAGACCAAGAAGCAAAAGGTGCAGAGACACAATTTAGTGTGTTCCCGAATCCCACCCAAACTTCCTCGACAGTCCGATTTGTATCAGCTGGCCAATTAGCTAGAGTTGCTGCGTCTCGGATTGCAGGTATATCCGCTTTCCAAATGTTTGGATGAGCAGATGTTGACCTATGTGTGAGATCATGAATCTTAAACGTAAAAGTGGCAACTACATGGCCACTACTGCCTAGCGACGGAAGGCACTTAATGTCACCGACATCCTCCTTCTGGTGTGTTAACACCAAGTGTAGAGTAGACGGATCATGTTCAGGGTGATGCACTATTGGTGCAGGTACATGCTGCAGAAGTGGCATTCGAGCACTGTCAGTGTAAGTCCTCTGTTGAAGCAAGTGTAAAAGGCAGCTGATGTGAATTCTTCCCAATTGATATATGGGGCATTAAATTCACCTACTATTATACACCTATTTCTACTACTCCACTCCCTGAGGTGATTTAGTACGAAATCATCAGCTTGGTTGACATGACTTCTATAAATAACCCCAATCGTCACAGTGCTCTTGTTCAAGTTAATGACGCAGCTTGCAGCTTCACCAGTGCCGCTATCATGCGCCTCTGATAGTGCTGACCCGCTTCCCATGACATCACGGATGTACAGGGCAACCCCACCACCTTTCCGTCCAGTTACTGTGTCTGCTCTAATGCAGATTCCCCAGGGTATGAGTGAAGTCCACACACACTAACAGCCATGTTTCAGTGACAGCAATCACATCACGTTGTAGTCCTTCAGATAATACTCCTAATTCAGGGACCTTATTCTTAAAACCACATGCGTTCGTGTGGCACACTGAAATACCTACGTGTTCACTCGATTTGTGAATAGAGGTATGGCAAGCACAGGTTCCTGAGACGAAATAACCCGAGATCCAACAATTTCAGGTTGACTCCTCCCTACCTAGTCGGGTCTTCAGTTGATCTTTGTTTTCTCTTTTTATTCTGTATTTCAACAGCGAATCGGTCCTTATTCTCCGTTTTTCATCGTTACAATAATAAACTGGTTTTTACAAGAAATTCCTGCCACGTTTACAAGCACGATCAGTTATATATGTCCAAACCAAATTAACCTTTAACTATTTGAAAAAATTTGAGCAATTTTTTTATGATATTCATTATAATAAATGTTTTTATTGTATTTCCTAAGGAATGAAAATGAAAACGATATTGCTATTGCTGAAGCTTCACTATTTAATGCTAATAGCTTTATGAAAGTATTATCAAAACAGAATTTACAAAATCTCAGCTCACATATATCAACTTAATGATCGTTCCTCAGCATGGTATTTTATTTTGCGTTATCTATTTAGCAGAGTTCAGTGAGCAGTGGAACAATTATTGATAAAATTTTTTACAATGATCCTGAAGAAAACAGCTGGTTGACAGAACCTATTATGCTAAATTTTCATGATCGATTCTCATATGGTAATTGTCAGACATTGCAAAGTAAACCTTCAACTTGTATTATTTATTTATTTATTTGAACGCAGAAAAACTTGGTGCATGATGGCACCAAGAAAGATGCGCCACACAATAATAATAAAACAACATAGATTAAACGTAAAAATATAGGTAGAAAACGGATAAAGTACTTCATCAGGAAAGAAAACAGTCATGTTTAACAAGTTCAAACAGTATTCAATAACTATCATCAGGAAGGGAAGAAAGAAGGAAATTGCAACACGTTCGCCATTGATTACGATTCTTGGCCATATCCGATAACGTTTCGAGCCATCGATTCGAGCTATCTCGCGGACCCCAACCAGGGAGTCGTGACACACCAACCGATGCTAATCTAGCACAAATATCCTTCATCCCACGACGCCACGTCATGGACTGACCACCCCTCCGCCTTTTACATCCCGTCCCAGGGCTAGCGAGCAGAGACCTGTACGGAAGCCCATGGGATGACATTCGCAGCACATGTCCAAGCCACCGGAGCTGGTGTTTCCAGATGACGACGCTCAATGAATGGTGACTTCCACTGTGTTCAAACACACCGCCGAACCTCAGAATTACTCACGCGATGATGCCATCGAACGCAAGCAATCCTGAGGAGACAGCGATGATCGAACACGCAGAGTCGCCGCACATCCTCAACTCAGAGAGGCCAGGTCTCATAGGCGTGAAGCAGGGCAGCCCGCACCGAAGCATTGTATACCCGACCTTTCACAGCCAGGCTAACGTCGCGACGGCGCCAGAGGTGGCACAAGTTGATGTATGCCACCCTAGCTTTCATTATACGGTTAGAAATCTCATCCGTCACCCCTCCGCCAGCACTCACACAACTACCCAGGTACACAAACTTATCAACAACTTCAAGCGGTTCACTCGCAAGAGTGAGCGCAGGTACAGGCTCCTGCCAATCTTGTAACAGTACTTTGCACTTAGACGGTGCAAAGCACATACCATACTTACAGACACTGATCGCCAACTGATTAAGTGCGATTTGGGCAGCCTGCATGCTATCGCACAGTAAGACGATATCGTCTGCATACTCGAGGTCGAAAAGTCTATCTCCAGGTAGCAGATCTACACCACCTTCACACACATCCTTCAGAGCTGACTCCAGAATGTCATCGATGGCAAAGTTAAAGAGGAATGGAGAGATTGGGCAACCCTGTCTAACCCCACTGTTGGTTGGGAACAGTGATGATAGTTGGTTGTATGCCCTCACTCTACCTGAGGTGTTTCCGTACAGGGCTTTCAAGATGTTAACAAATTTCTCAGGTACACCTCTCTCTAACAGACAGTTCCAGAGCACAGTTCTGTCCAACGAATCGAAGGCAGCCCTAATATCAAGAAACACAACGGTCGTTGGCCTGCAATACGTGTGGCGGTGTTCCAACAACTGACGAAGGGTGAACACATGATCAATGCATCCACGACCTGAACGAAACCCAGCCTGCTCTTCGCGAATCAATCCTTCACGTATTTTGCACAGCCTGCGAAGCAAGACAGAAGCCAATAATTTAGACGCGGCTGGTAGCAGACTGATACCCCTATGATTGTCACACGAATTACGTCGACCCTTTTTAAAGATAGGGACGATGATGGCTTCGTTCCACATTGATGGTACACTCTCAGTTTCCC